CTTCATCTCCACACTGTGAAACCACATCGAAATTTTTACAAAACTGAAATCAATCAGTTTAGTCACAGTGCTATCACTACTGAGTGACCATATCCAAACAAACACTATTGCAAAAGACTTTCAGATTTTAATAAAATTAAATTTTACCAACATTTATACTATTGTAAGAGAAAAAGATGGAACAAAAATATGTTGAAAACATTTGACTAGTTTTAGGAAATAAATGTGAAATCTATTAGTTTACAAAATGAAGAAAAAAAGTAAAATATGACAGATATACTTGGAAATCAGGTTTTCAAACAGAAAAAAAGGAAAATATGATATGATGTCTGGAAATCTATTTGTTTCAGTTAAAAAAAAACAAAAAAAACTGTGGTCAAATTAACAAAATAGCGAGTAAAAAAAAAAAAAAAAAAAAAAGTTGCCAGTTTCACCTTAATGATGAATTTTATGAAGTCGCTTTTTTGTAATTGTTTTCTAGTAAGCCAGTGTATACCAATCATGAAATAAAGTTATTGAAAACAAGAAAAAAATGATTTTTTTTTTTTTAAAATAATTTTTCTTTTTATCTAGGGAATGCACCTAAATTAGATATTAAAAATAATTAAAATAGTTCTTAATTTCACTTTTAAATGTGTATATTTCCAGATATGCAAGTCTCTAAAATTGCTTGTTTTCTACAAATAAAATTATGTTTGTTTCTATCTAGCAAACAAAATATTAAAAAAATAAAGCAAGTTTTACTCAGTTTAAAAAAAAAAAAAAAAAAAAATTTTTTTACTTTACTAGTCAGTGTCAGACAGTAGTTTCAATAATTGGAAAGGTCTTTTACCACATCTTTTATTACAATCAAATTCTTGAAGGAATTTGCTTCCTCAGTTCAGACCGTAGTTTAAGGTGTCTTCTAATTGAGTGTACAATTTCAAGAATATTGATAAGATTGGTCACTTTGATTTTGCAATACAAAGTAGATTATCGCAGTAAATTTAAAAAAAAAAAAAAAAAAAAAAAAAAAAAAAAAAATTCTTATTTCGCTTTTTTGGCTACTTGAAGCAAAATACCATTTTAACTTGCTGTAAAATAATAAATCAATGAAAAAGCAGATACAAATTACATATTTAGAAATACACAAGAATCTGCAAGTTGAACAGACTAAGTAAATCAGATATCAACTGGAAATGCTATCTTTACACAAGAAAATGAATGGCTTCCTTAGAAAGCAAAAATACTAAATTAAAAACTGAATCGAAAACTGCAATATCACACACAGAAGGGTGTTTTATATAGCTCCCTC